TATAATACAACACTTCAGTTCGATACAAATGCGGGTACTTATATTCGGTTAGGATGATACATAATTATGCAACTAAATGAAGACAGTGATCTTTAAGAATTTATGTTGTTTTGAATTTGTTCGTGTGCTTCATTGCTTATCTTTTATTTCTTTGTTTCTGTATTTATGTGTCACTAGTTTCTATATATATATACACATTGTGAAGAATATTATTATTATGAACTGATGACACCGCTCTATACTGTACGATATCAACAACTAATATAATCGCACGTTTTATTTATCTAATCAAGGACTCAAGAAGATGTCGCGTTATGAACATAACTGACTTGAATCACGAATGAAATGTGGACAGGACATGTCGTCTTGATCATTACAAGATTATAAACACAAACAATTAAATGAATCTCTAATTTCTTGTATTTTTACTTTTAATTTTTCCATATTTTATTCTTGACGATATGTTCAGAATAGAACACAAAAGTTCAAATGTTGTTATTAATTCTGTTTAAAATATAATAAATTGTTATTCACAACAGTTATCTCTTTATTTTTTCTTCTTTATAATGAAATTTGCTAATGATCATTATGTGCATACATCTGATATTCTCTTGAAAATTTTTTGACAATTCGACAGAAGAATAATGTACTGTATTAATGAAATGCAAAAACATTGTATAATTTGGTTATTTGATTAATGATTGCCAACAAGAGGTATTATATTTGACTGAAAGAAAGAAATTTAAGAAGCAAATATCCATCTAGACTCAATACTCTAAACGATCAACAATGAAGTGTTACTAATCATTTTTCTATCTGATAGGACAAGGCCGAAATATTACTTAATACTGTCAGTTATAGCAGTATTTTTTTTTAGATTTATTCGAATTTGTTCTTGTTATCTCTAATACTCTCTGAATGAGTTATTAGATATATGACTCTTCAGCTTCTATTTCTTCGTATACTTCTTTATCATTCACTGATGTCAATCATTTTTTCATAGATGAATAAGATCATTATCAACAATATTAATGGAATTCCATCACTATAGAACAATCATATTTGGAAGTTACGATGTGTTATTTCTTTATCGAATTGATTACTAGCAGAATTAGTTGAAATTATTCGATTAGATCATCGAAGTTAATCATAAATGTCTTTGATGTTAATATTGATTTCTTGTTTTTACGATGTTTTCATCTATATTTTATTGTTTAATTAACATTCATTGCATTAATTATCTTGCTTTTACTTATAGATGGATGTGTTGTTCAAATACAAAATTTATCAAATCAAGATTTTTGTCCATCTGGTGAAATACTATCGAACTCTATTTCAAGGATGTACGTGTGGGTTGCTATCAGGACGAGATATCCACACCCACACCATCCGAAGGATCCAGTTATTATTGAGAATTTAAAAAAACAACGTTTCAATACATGACATAGTGAAAGGACACTAGAGTGAAGATAAAGATATTCTTGCAATGTAGCCCTCACCCCCACTTTTGTAAACCCCTATAGATCGATAACGAACGCCATCTTTTTTGTCACAAAGGTTTCACGTGGATAAATTTTGTGCAATAGTAAAAAAGTGTATATATGTAAAAGTCTATGTAGCTTATCCCTCTCAACCAACCGAATTGTTGTGAGTCACAAAACTCACTATGTCATCAAAAATGTTATCATAATAAGAAACGTGGCCAAAAATGACGTAAAGATAATGACAAATTGTTTTGATATTGAAGGAATATAAAAGTCTCAAAAAAAGCAACCACGTTTTCATAGAGCAAATTTCTTAAAAATAGGATCGTCATTTATAAACACCTTTTTGTGCTTTTTTTTAATAATAGATAACTAACATAAAAATGATCTACTTTCTAATCAGTGATTCAATAACACTGACATTGTTGGTTTTATTCATACTCATCATTGCTTATTATATGTGAGTACTCTTCTCAACTCAATTATTAATTCGAAATAAAAATTTAATGACCCAAATTTTAGTTACAATTTGCGCAGGAATAATATATTTCGTCGTCTTGGAATGCCTGGCCCAGAACCCATTCCATTTATTGGCGAGGCTTATAATATTATACGCAAGGTAATAAACTTTCTCATTTTATCTTATTATATTTACAGTTCAAAGTTCTTTTTATTAAGGGTCTTATTCAAAATGACATAGATCTTGTTCAAAAATACGGCAAAATTATTGGGTAAGTGAGAGTTCATTCTGTATAAATATAAAGAGAACTTTCAGTCTTATGCTTGATTCAATCAATATTTCTGCATTGAACAATGGAAGTGGCTATGGACACTCAGACAGTCATAAAAAATATTTAGCAAAGATAAAATTAGATCAGTCTTATATGTACTTGATTTTTGACATATATGAAATGCCTTAACTTAATAGTAATTTAACATTATTAATTTCTTACTATATTCAAAAAAATGTATAAATCAAATATTACAATTGCATAAATATAAAACAAATTTTAATTTAGATAAATATCAACCGATTTAAGGGTGTGCGTGTAGTATGGATGACATGCTAGTTCTGTTTCTGACTCCACACCCACATCCATCCTTGACTTATTTTCACTTATACCTTAGTTTTTTTACTAATTTTGTGCTACAAAAGGTAGTCTGGCATAGAGAATCTAAATCTGAAGTCAGTTTTAATTAATTATTAACTAGACTCTAACTAGTCATTAATTAGTGAAGCCGATTTTTATAATATTGAAAAAGATGTATTCGAAGGTGGAGAATCCGAATTTGATGTCAGAGTTAATTAATTATTAACCAACTAATTAATAATTATTAGTTAATTAGAAAATCGAACCAAACAGTCCGATGAAACCTCATTCGAATTAAAAACACAAAAACTAAAGAAAAAGTTTTTTTTTTCACAGGTCTCCAAAAAACCTGGGCTTTCAGAGACTTCCAAACTTTTGGGGACTCTGATTGTATAGCACACTTAGAGGAGACTTTGATACGCCTTTATATTAAATTCAAAAAAATTCAAAAAAAAAATTTTTTGGTTTGGGAAAAGGGAGGGAGTCCCTTTAAGGTATTTCATATATGTTAAAAATCAAGTACATATAAGACTGATCTAACTTTATCTTTGCTAAATATTTTTTATGATTGTCTAAGTGCACATAGTCATTTCCTTGAATAATTGTATTTTTTTTTCTAGAATTGTCGGAGGAAAAAATCCAAATATTCTTCTCTCTGA